TTAAGTCTTATCCAAGATCTTGGATGTGAAAATTTAGACATAACATTTTTAGTGTGAAGTCACTTTACGCCCCTTCTACTAATGCCGACAAGATAATTTTGCTGTGATACTTTTAGGAACTCCATCAACTCATCCGGATCACCGCCAGAAACAGAAGAATTGGCGATAGACGACACCTCTCGGTTAGCTAACGTTTCATAAGCTCATCTTATTGATCTATGGGCTTTGCAGGAAATCCGATACAGTTTTTGATTCGAAAGAAGAACCACAAATGTTGAATTACATCGAAAACGAGCCTGAGTATGTATCTAACAAAGAAATCTTATTGACTACTCTCCTGTCATTTATTTTAGCACACCAATCAACATGAATGTAGCCGTTGATCCGCAACTACTTGACATAAGCCAAATGGAATCTTTCGTGGATATCTCAAAAAATCAGACAGCATATGCAGACATGTCATCAGAACCTGACTCGAGCAGTATGTCGCAAGAAATTAGAGACTTGAGTGAGCCTATAAAAAGAACAGTCGTGAATTCGGTGAATTCTGTCGCTCAGACTGTAACTGCAAAGGCGTCCTCAGAACTTCAACAGAAGACTATGTCGCAAGAAGCAAAAGACTTGTTTGTAGATTCACAAGAAACATCCGAGTCCAGCTCACAAGAGACAGATTATCTGAGCAGTAAGGAAAAGAAGGAAGTCGTGTCTATACCGTACCCCATTCAGCTTTCCACGATACCCGTCCTTACAACGACAGAAGCTACCACTGAGGCGACCACTACGAAAGTAACTGAGGATGTTTCCACTATAGTAGAGTCGTCAACCATTCGAAAGCGAAGCAGCGTAAGTGATAGGCAAGAAACGGACCTCAAAATTACAGCCCCAGTATCCAATGCAAAGGAATACGACTGGTCCATTATTTCGAGCACAGCCTCACCATTTCCACCAAGTGAAGGTGTTACGACTATCAAAACACCCACGATAGTGCGATACTTTGTAAAAATCACTAGAAACCCATGGTTGAAGAAAATTCCTGCTGATGAGGCTTATTTCTTCAAAAACACAACTCCGATGCCTTTAACTTCTACTACAAAAGAGACTGCAGGCGATATCATAGCAGATGAAGTGATAGAGACGAGTGAAGCTGAGACTTCAGCAGCAAGTACTGTAACGCCAGATAGTACTACAGAAATGGAGACCTTTCCAATTGGCAGGATACCAGATTTTGTGCCGATTGGAAATATAGAGGAGATTGTGCCTATTTGGAAAGGAGATTTCTTCGAATCGGCAGAAGCGCAAGATCAAGAGCGGGAGCGGAAGCCTAGCATAATCCCTAAGCTGTTCGACGAAGCTACGGCGACGGTCACTTCAGAAAACACGAACGATCCTTTCGATATTATAAGTACAACGAGTAATGTGATAGAGACTAGCGAAGCTGAGGCTCCGGAGCCTACGACTGATCAGGATGCGCCAAATGCTCTTAACGATACACCGACAACAGCTTTAAGCTTGTCGAGCAAATTCTCTGGGACATTTGTGAAAAATGCAACTTCAGACGAAAATGAACCAATGCGAGTGCCACCATTGGGTTTTTTCTTTCTCAGGACAACCTCGCCACCCAAAGTTCTGTCTGATGACGTTGACA